GATTTGTGCTTCCTTGAACAATAAAACCAAAGGAGCTGTCTTAAGTATGTTTATCAAACTGGCAAGGGGTTTCCAGTGCAGTGCTGTGTGGCAGGAAAGGAGAAGCAGTCACATCACTCTCAGCCTCCTTCCTCATATCTTTACCTGTCGACACCGAACCCACCAGCTTCTGTCCACCTGCGGAAACACAGCCGCCCTTATTACGCCTCACTGTAAGTCCCTGTGATATCCCCGATGATCTTGGCCAAGAAGTCATCAGATCTCTTTTTCCTGTCATTCATTCAGCTGGTCGAGTATCAGATCTGTTAAAGGAAGTTTACCAGGCAACAAAACAGAAAAACATGAAAACATTTTACAAAGCACCAATTTCTCATCCTAAGAAAGTCCGGCCTTACTCAGGCTTGGGTCATGTGCCTTGCTATGCATAGTGCCAGGGTTCCTTTACTTTACTTCTCATTATCTGGGTTGGAAGGTAGGTTAAGCCATTGTACACATTTCTGCCCTGAGGGAGATTTGGGTCTCTCAATTGCTTCATCAGTGGGATTCACACTCTGCTCTAGAAGCTGCTTTCTGGTATCAGCTCCATGAATGATAAAACCCTTGTGTCTGAGTCATGAGGAATGTTTATGCCACCACTGTCTAGGGCTCTGTGATTCCTTTATTTAGAAGGTGCATCTTTGGCCCTAGAAATCTCTTCATTAGGTTGGTAGCTCCTTGCACTTCTTGGAAGGCCTTATGGTTCCAGACCTCTGGTAATCCTACCCTCACTCCTATTTGATTCATCCACAGTATAGTAACTGAAAGTTTTTAAGGTTTGTCTCTCTTGGGAAAGAGCTCAGCTTCACTTGACCATCTAAGCTGGCAGCTGGGTTTTAACAACAGCTAATGGGCCAATGGCAGCAGCCATCTTCCAGAGCCTTTCTGTCTCAGGTTAATTACTGCTGATGATTTTTGCTCTGTTGGACTGGAACCCAAAATGACAAGGTCCTCTATGATGTCTTCCCTCATGCACCCATGATGAGACCTTCCAGAATCCTGTCATTTCCTGAATACCAGAGAACAGTTATATAGATTGTAAATATAATAATAGTTTCCAACAATAGCAGGGAAGATCCTTTCCTCTTATGACAACACTGAAAAGGTGCTTTCAAATGTAGAGATAACATGAAATGGAGTGCAAGCAAATGTTTTGGAAGCCAAATCAAGAGTCAAAAAGATTTCAACAGTTGGGAATGACTTGCTAAAAGAAATAGAATGGAATTTGAAGGATGTTTTTATTGTCCTGAATTGAAGCTTAAAAAAGTCATGTCTTCAAGCTCCAGGTTGGAGATACCTGCCTCAACTGCAGTTCGGGCTGGGGTGGGGGTTGTGCTTGGAGATTTTATTTGACTGAGGAAGACCACTGTGACCTGAGTGCTAAGGACTGATGTGCTCTTTCGTGTGTAAATAGCGATACTCTGTCTAGGTTGAGGGGAGAAGCCCCAGGTCCTCTGCCTGGGGGTTGAGCTCTGTCTAAGTTGAGGGGAGAAGCCCCAGGTCCTCTGCCTGGGGGTTGAGCTCTGGCAGCCTAATGCATTATGTTGTGTTTGACTGACATCCTGATTTTGAAAAATTTGGAATGGAACCCCTTTGGGTGAGGCATGCACTCTCCAGGCTTTGGCATTGATGTTCCTGCCCTGATTCTAAAGGCTTTGTATTTGTGGATGGTCCTCCCTCCCCACTCCCTTATAGAAACACTCTCCAGGGCACTGGGATCCATCCTAAACCCACACTTAGAGAGGCACTTAATGAAATGAGGGGGATCAAGAAGAGGAGGATCCAGATGGTAAAAGAATTAGACAGCAATTCATATCGTAATAGTTGAGAGAACCACGGCTCTGTAACCTGAAGAGCTGTCTTCAAATACCTGAGTATTGTCATGTGGAAGAGGAGTTAGATTCAGCCCATCCTATGGACCATTTATGGACTATGTGCCTTACTTCAGTCACTAAGTTGAGAAGATGCAGAGAAGAGCAAGTTGGTTTCTGCCCCCAAGGCCAAGTTTGCTTCACAGAGCAAAGGGAGATAATAAAGAGATGGCTGTAAAATAATAATACTGTGTGGTTCTCCAGAAGACAGAAATGAGGAGGCATATTTCAACTTGGTTTAGAAAGGCCTTTTCTAACAAGGAAAGTTCTCTGCAAATGGAATGGGATGCCTTGGAAACTTGTCACCAATCGTATTGGTTCGACCGTTGAAGATGAGCTAGAGGAGCTTTGAATGGGGGGCAGAGTAGACGATTTTTCTCCCTCTGATAGCATGTGATTCCAAGACCACCGACTTGCTTTCCTTTACTTATCTAGAGAGTCATCACCATATTAAATGCCCACGAGTTTTACTCAGTGTTCTGGGCAGACCACACTGGGAAAAGTGTTGAATTGCAGAGTGTATTTGTCTTCTGGAGATGCAAGAGCCAATAGGCAGGGGCCCAGCTGTCTTTGTTATTCATGGACCTGGTAGAACAATCTCCTGGCATGTTTGGCAGGTACAGCCTTGTTGCCGGTTGCTTCTTTTGTTTGTTGGCTTGCATCTGGCTGTGAGGATCATGTCATTCCCTTTGTGTGGTGCAGGAGTTTGTTTCCTGGGACAAGTAAACTGTGAAACACTATTTCCTATGCCCACCACCCTCCAGAAACCCAGAAACATCCAGTGATTAGCTACCGAAATAGGAGATTCCTAATTCTTCTCTTTTGATGGTAGAAATTTAAAATAATTCAGATTTCTATTGTTGTGTCCCCATAGATCCCTCAGCCCTAGAAAATATGTCACATTTCGATTGCATGCAGAAGGCTAAACCAAGCAAAGACAGCATGTCTTCACAGCCTTTGGGGCAGAATGTTCTGGCAACAGCATGTCCTCTTTCTGCTACCCCATTACCATTTGTCACCAACTCTCACTTCCCTACTGTCTATATAATTGTAAGGAATGCAGACATGGCCTCTTTTCCTTGGCAGGCACATTCTAAGGTTCAGAAAGGCAAATACTATCTGGATTTGGCATGTCTTTTTAATTTTCATGTGTTTGACCCTAGTTTAGCACTTTGGGGCATTTCCCTCCAGA